TAAAAATTGCCGAGTATGGTATTTTCAGTTCTTAATGGCATTCCCTTGTCGACCGTCCGCGGCGGCGACAGCGACGATGGTGCGTGACATTTTTCGGGATTCCGTGCTTGTTTGGGTGTTCGCGCTCGCTGCGCAAGCTCGTTTAGGTCCTTCAGATCCTCCTGCGCTAGGAGTTAACACTTTTAAGTGGACATTGGTCGTGCACGCCGCTCGAACTTACATAGATGGGTATCCGAAGCTTTTTTGAACGTATGAGGACTGAGCATGATTTTGCCTCCGATCGTGAACGCATTAACATTAAATATAGTCAAATTTATGAAACAAACATTAATGTATAATATTCGATCAACTTCTAAACACTTGAGTGCTATAGATACATAAAATCACTCACAGTGAAAATCGTACAAGTCGTATCGTAAAGATTATGGATTCGGTTCAATGACAGGTTAGTACTTGGTTATTACTCATACTCATTAAACAAAATTAATCATTATTTTTTATTAGTGAATAAGATCAATAATGTCGTAACGTCCGATATCGCCCTCACACGCAAAATCGTACGAAAAAATATACAATTTATTTATACAGTAAAATAAAAATCTACTATAAACAAATACTTCAATATTTAGTAGGATAACCGTTATTATTTATAATTTCCTGCAAAACGCTGCCTGCGTGCCATAGATCGAACTAATGTTTCTAAAAAAACTTGGTTGAATATTTTTTAACATTCTTTGTATTGCAGCTTTTAATTGTTCTTTATTTAATTCTTCACACTTATTTACATGTAATTTAAATTCATGCCAAACATGTTCAGTTATATTTAAATCGAGTGATTGCGGTGGTTTGTGAATAACATTTGGGCAATTGTATAATAGCCATTCCTGAGCGATTCTTGATACATGCTATTAACAACGGAGTAATAATTGCAACTATAAAAGTACTTTATTAACATTAATAGGATGCCTTCTAATGGTATGGTTTATGCTAGATTGTTCTTCGTTGAGTGCCGAACAGCGAACGATCCCTTGTCCGTCCAGGTCCTCGCCCATTCGATTCTTGTTTATAAGACCGGCGCCTTATCCCTTAGCCTTTTTGGTAGCGTGGCCGGCCGCCGAGTTGCTTATATAGGATCCGCGGCTTCTTTGATCGAACTTTTGTCACAATCCTGTGAACGAAAAACTTTTTCTATTTCACATAAAGAAAGGAACCATCGCGACGCGTTCGATGCATGTAGCGACCACGAGGTAAGACAGTAAGGGCAGCACGCGTTGTCGCCGAGCGGTGGAAAACAAAAACGAAATTACGTGTTTCCAGAACATTCTCGCAGTTCTAAACGCGCGCTATTGAAACCGACGCAAACCAGCCATCAATCCCCCACTTTTCCGGAATCTAATCTCAGCATCCGTATTGCGTTCATTTGGTTCAGTTGCTTTAATCCCTTCGTCATTACGTCTGCCGGGTTTTCGTTTGTGGCAATGTAGAGAATGTTTATTATGCCTTCCTCGACCTTATCTCGTACCACATGATAGGCAATATCGATGTGCTTGGTTTTACTCTTCTCTACTCTGTTCTTAGAATAATGTATGGCTGCTCGATTGTCGCAATAAATTTCGATGCTGTCTGAAATAAAAAATTCAAATAAATCTAGCTCTTTCAACATCATTTGCATCCATTATGCCTCTTTGGCGCTTTGAGACAAAGCTATATACTTCGCTTCTATTGTAGATGTCTATACACATCTTTGTTTTGATGAGTACCATTTCTCCTATTTAAAATCATATCAGAATAGGAGCGTCTATCATCGACTTTAACTTTTGGCTCCTTACTTGCAGAATACCTTAATCCTAAGTCTTTGGTTTTGTTTAGGTAGCGCAATACATGCTTGGCTTGATGCCAGTGTATTATCCCAGGATCAACGTTGTACTGGGACCGTTGTGTTACTGCATGTAAAATGTCTGGCCTAGTGTGTAAAGCTAAATGCATTAGTTCCCCGATAAGTTTTCTATACAATACCTTTGACATTCTCTCTCTCTCTCTCTCTCTCTCTCTCTCTCTCTCTCTCTCT